TCCCCTGTAATGTAGGTCATTCTACTGGGGATATATGTGCCACAGCTGTGTGCCTTCTCTGCAGCTCTGCCAGAACAAAAGATGTGGCCCACAAACACAACATATGAGTACCTCAAGGATCGAGGCAAAACCCACAAGTGCATGTAGCCACACACACACACACACACACACACACACACACACACACACACAACCACAGACGCACACACACCATAGAAGAGATAAGAACAGACAGCTCTATTTTTTCTTCGGCTATTGTCAGGCGAAGGACTAACTCCACCACCCCCGCCAACACATCGCATCGTTCCGATATTCAACATGACATTTCATTCAAAAAAAGAGAAAAGGGAGGGTAAAAAAAAGAGAAAAAATTCAAGAGAGTTGCACCTTGGAGCTGGCTGTATCCGTTGAGAGCTATCATACTGAATTACATGGATGTGCTGTCAGTGGCTTTCTAGGTATATTGGCTGTAGCTAGCGGGGAGTAAATGTCATAAAGATATAGTGAAATGACTGTGAAAGGACATTGGTGATAAGTTTAAAAGGGGCAGGAGATTGGGGGGTGGGTGGGTGGGGGGTTGAGTGTCTGTACTGGCGGGAAATTCAGACAAACAACCAAATATATTCAGAGTGAGTGCTGCATCGCCTGGTTGAGGTCTGACCTTCCTCCATACAGATGCTCCAGGAGCTGCGTGGCGAATTTGAAAGTCTGCTCCAGTCAGAGTGGATCAGGGATCTCAGTCTGCAGTCTGATGACAGCTCAACACTCTGGACAAGTTAAGCTGAAGAGCTGCCGCAGGACGGACGCACTTCTGAGCTACGTTCTTTGACTTTTTTTCTTGCACTGTTTCCTGCTGTATTGTAATTTTATTTGGTAAAGTGAAACACTAGAAAAACCAAGGTGACATCGACAGCGTTCAGGCCGTGGGTGGTAGTGAAAGACTATGTTGCAGCTTGTGACACTTCACGTAGAAAACAGGAAGTATAACTGGGTGGTGATGCGACGATTCTTTCACTTGGATTTTCTGAGAGTTGGACAAAAATTTGCACATCAGAGAGAGTTTATACAGTGAACGAGGTTTCTGGATTAAAGCTTAGAGACAAGCTTAGTGTCTGCATATCAGTGGCATCCTGGAGAAACAATTCTATTCTTAATGCCACCTTTTATGTCTCTGCATAACTGTAGGACAGAGCTCCACTGTCGACGTTGCCTTGTCATGGACATAAACTGTAGCAAAAGTGTACACTCATACACTTTTTTTTATCTCTTAGCCAGTATGGCATACATAATTTAGCTCTCTGTTTGCCCACATTCAGTTGTAGCTCATTTTCTAGTCTTATGAATAATATGTTTCTAACTTACAGGATCACACATCCTATTATTAATTAGTTATGTGAAGTAGGTACTGCATATAAACCTTTTACTGAAAAAAAATCTACTTGCCATATTAACATGGCAAGTTTGTCATAAGAGGAAACCCTATATCCTCTTGCCTTTATTTGACAGCTATTACCACTCACCGAATCAGGCCTGAAACCTGGAGTGGAGTTTAAAAAGGTGACAGAAGCCGAGTCCCCGTAGGAGGCGGGGGATGCCCGGGGGGCAATTTAAACATGCACTCTAAGATGAAAATGGAGGAAAATAAATATGTTTTCTGCTGTTGGGTATTTTTGAAAACTGCTCAAAAAAATGTCTTGACAGCAGCACAGTCCCTGCCTACCCACAATCCATCACATAGACGTGGACTATGAACTTTATTTTAACAGCTTTATGTTCAAGAGTATAATTTTTAGTACTTAACTGATTAATTGACTGGTAAATGAATCAACAACAATTCTGATAATCTACTCGTGATTATTAAAAATGAATTATCTTTGGATGTGGGACTTCTGTTTAAATAACATAAGTAATTTGAAGATGCCACCATGAGCTCTGGGAAAATGTGGAGGGCGTTTCCTCTATTAACTGACATTTTATAGACTAAACAATCAAAAAGTAACTGACAGATTAATTGAAAATAGAAATATAATTGTTAATTGAAGCTTGAGTCATTTGTGTGTTTTGGTCTGTACAAAGATGCTGATCAGGTGCTTGTTGTTGCTGTCTATAACCACGTACTGCTTTCTTTTCCACCCGCAGTGTTGCATGATTTAATGCCGCCAATAACACACACCGCAACCAGGGATGTATTAAAAGAGCTCTTATAATATATCCATGGGCGTGCCATACTCACATAAGTTGCACTCAAGGTACA